CTCCCAACCTGCCCAGAGCGAACCGGGCGAGTTTCTCAGGGATACCTGTGTTCCAAGCATCACCTTTCGGGCTGAGCTAAAATGTATTCTTTTGGTGGGCTGATGTTTAAGCGGGGTAATTTCTGCGGACCCTATGTGTGCTATCCTCGACGCGCGATCCGGCCTGTCACACCTTCACCATGATACCTGCGCACCAATGGAAGACAAATCCTTTTGGAATGGGAGCCCTCATTTGCTTTGGCCCGTTTCAACCTGTTTGCCACATGCAACAGAACTGTAAACAGCATGTGTTGCTGAGACCACACTTCCTTTTGGAATAGGCATGTGTACTTGGGTGTTCGGCCAACTTGGCAAGTAGGTTATAACCATTGTCACTGGGGTAACTGGGGGCGATAGTCCCCTTAGCGTGGTAACCTACTTGCGTGGTCTGAAGTTTGAACATCCAAGTACACTCCCATGTTTGGCGCAGGGTAATGTTGCTTTCGGTGTAATCCACCCCTCCCATTACTAGGGGTTTGTTTCCCTGCAAAAAGTGATGAATCTCCACTAAACCCAGGGACCCCCCCTATTAATCAACATCCACCAGCCTTGATACAAAAAGCAAGCAGTCTTCTTGGACCATGGCAACGGGAGGGTACTCCATCCCAATTTATTAGCTGACAGGTGCCGCTGCAGCTGCCGGAAGGCCGGATCTTGGGTCGGTTTGGTCGGATGCTTGGTATGGGGTGGATCAAAAGGTTCTTTAAAGTAAAGCAGGGCGGTTCAAAGCTTGAGCTGGTGCGAAAGGTAGGGAATGACCGAGTCAGGGTGCTGGGAATGAACTGGACAGGTTTTTCCTGAAGGAAGCCAAAAGGGGTCAATTCCACATTCCCTGCTGAGACCAAGCAAGAATGGCAATCCTTAGTCCTTACCTTGGGTCACGCAAGGATTGGTCCCCTTTGTAGTCTCTTTCCAAGAGGGACTATGGATTCGGATTGGCCAACAGTCCCAGAAAATCACCATAGGGAAACCAAAAAAACATGACTGTCACGACAAAATGGAGCGAGTCACCCGTGGTCCTGTGGTCATATTGGGGCAGATCTGAGTGTTTATTAGGATTCATCACTTTGCTCCGGAGATGACAGACATAGACCCAGCCGTGGGCAAAGAGTTGGGAGAACATGCACACGAGACCCTGACGAGTGAGTCTATAGACGAGAGGGAAGGCGGGAACGTCCTCACCGCCAGTTCAGTCTTGGAAACTAGATCTGATTGAAAGGAGCCCATCTCTACGCAGCGGTTGCTGGGCACTTTGTCCCTCCACGGCGTTTCGTCCAAGATCCTTTTCACGCAGGCCACAGAACCCATTCACTGTTTGTTTGAAACCTGCTTGGTTTGACCTTGGATCCCCGAACTGTCGGGTCCCGACGACCCGATTTTGGTATGGCAGCACCTTGCCAATAGCTGGGCTTGGCTCCTTCTTTTGACATGGTAACTGTTTGTTGGTTTATTCCCGCCCCCTTAAAAATGGAATTGGGAGGGGGGTGACCCCTGGAATTCCATGTATAGTTCCATTTTCCCTTTCATGGGGAAGATAAATGGAATCGGGGGACCCCCTACTTCCCCCCTAAGGTAGGGGGGATGTTGGTCTTAAAAGGAAAACCAGCACAGGAAAACAATCTTGTGGGTCGCCGCGCGCAGCACCAAGCGCAGGTGAAGTGGAGCCCGTGCAGCCAATCTGCCGGGAGCCATGAGCTACGTTGCGCTCTGTGTTGGAGTTTTAGGTCGAAACCAGCGACCTCAAGATTCAGGGCTTCTTCATTTCGGGACCTTGATTTTTGATCTCAAAGCTCATTTCAGGCAGCCCCAGACCTCTAGTTCTGTCTTGAAAGCAAGCGACCTCGTCGTTGTTTTTGTCACTGCGCCCGGGCTGAACGCCCACTTGACGACTGTCTCCCACTAGCGGAAGGCTGGGAAGTCGGGCACCTGAGCCACTTGGACCACAAATGGAGCAATTGAGCAAAGCCCACGCAGCACCACAGGATGTTTGTTGAGATAGAGCCGTAGCCGTTTTGTTGCAGCCTGGAGCAGCGCCCAAAGGCTTCGTGAAGAAAAGTGAAGACTTCACTATCTCTCTCTCTCTCTTTTTTGTGCGTGTCTGAATGTGTCTTTGTCTGTCTCTGCTTCTCTCTGTCTGTCTTTGTGTGCGGGTGTGTGTGTGTGTGTCACGATTTTGGTGGTCGTGCTTGTTTTTTCCCCCCTAACAGCTGAAAGGGAGCGGCTTCGGGTCAGAGTTCCGTGCCCCCGGGGTTGCAGAAATGGATCGCCTGCATGTGGCGTCCTTTTTCTCAGGGCCCCCGGAAGAAAGAATAAAAGACGAAGAGAGTGGTTTCCCTTTAAAGGCACCAACAAAAAGGCAGCCTCAAAAAAGAAGGGTCGCGCCGGTTTCGGCGCTGAAGGCCCCACTCGCCTGGCCATTTTTGGGGTATCTAATCTGATCTGAGGCGCCCGGCAGCGCCGCAGGCGCGGGGCCTTTGGAGGTGAGTGCGTGGTTGGCTCCACTTGGGGTACAGCCCACTTACTCAGTTGTTCAGTGGCTCCCTTGTTCTTTTTTTTGGTGGCTTCCCCACTAAAATGGTCTTGCCAAGAAAGGGTTCCTTTTTTTCCCAGGGTCGCTGAACAACTGAGCTTAGGGTAGTTTGAATTGTACGCCAAGGTTAGTACGTAGCAACTTGGGGTATAACCCACTTGCAGCAAGGTGAACTCCACTTGGCACTTGGGAGTTGGAAGCGGGTTGTAATATTACTTCAGGAAGAAGGTGTTTGTTTGCCGCTCTGGGGAATATATAATCGTGGGTCAAAATTCAACCGCCAGGATATGGACCGCAGGTTTTGGTCCAAGTCTCCACTTGCTAGGGTTCCATTTGTGGTACCTATTTTTTGACCCACAGCCAAATATCTTCAACCATTTTGCTGGGCTGTGGATCGGATTTTCCGGCTGCGCTACATCGAAGTCATGATTTGTGCGACTCAATGCGGTCCTCGAGCCGCAGATCAGCCGCTCAAGGGAAAAAGCTACGCCGACGTCCGCGAGGAAAAAAGGTTTGCCCTGGTGTGTAGGTACAAAGAGCTTGCTAGCTTGGCAGAAACACCCACATCATGGGCTGGTTTGGTTGAGGGTGGGTCTAGGCTGGGTCTCCGCTTGACTTCAGATGATTGAGGATTGGGGTTCAGGTTGGGGTTGGCTGCGGTTTGTGTTGGAGCGGTGTCTGAGCTTGCCTTTGGTTTTGGGGGTTGGTTGAGGTTTGGTTCCCTCTGGCTGGGGGTTCTGGATGTGGGTCACTGTCTGGTTAAGGACAGGTTGAGGGCAGGCTTGGAGAAAAGCAAGGTTGGCTCGGGCTGAGTCCAGGCTCGGTCTTAGGTGAGTTAGCTTTGGGTTCAGGCCTGGTTGAAGATGAGTTTGGGGTGGTTTCGAAGTATGAAGGGTTTAGAATTGCTTTGTTTGGGATGTGTTGCTCGGAAGGATAGGTGACATCCGTGCCTTTGGATGGTGAGGGGGCTGATCTTCGGGCTGGAACCCACTGCCCAAGAGTGCGGGTGAGGGGGGGGGGTTCCTAAGGCTCCACAAGGAACCCTACCAAACCCTAAGGAGCCCTAACGCGCCTAGGGCTCTCAGCGATGTTCCCTTCTACAAGGCTTGAATGCGACAAGAAAATTCCTGACAAAGGTTTCGCCTCACTCATACCAGGAGAACAGATTTAGTGGAAGCTTTCACAAGTGGTGAACAACAATGAAACTTTGGTAGTTTAGTTCAGCTTTAGTGAACAAGCTACCCAAAGTGCCCAACTTTTCGAAGGGGTTCTGGGAACAGCCCAGCAGACAAGGGGATACCAGGGGTGTGCACTATCCCGCGCTGGCACTCCAAGGTATCCTAGGAAACCTTGGCCAGAGGAAGCCGAGCAGGGTCCAGACATCTGAGGCTTGCGCCCCTTCCATTTGCTTAAGGAGATGTTGTATTTTCCCCCCGTTGGTGTCCAAGGGCCTCCCACCACGTGGATGATCGAAATCCGACAAACCTCATGGCTTCATTCCCACGGCTCCATGTCGTGCGAACGGAAGTGGCACCCCGCCGGCCAGATGTTTTTTTTTTCTTCTCACATTCCATGACTACTCAAAAGAGCTGGAATGATGACTCCCCAACGTAAATACCAACAAGCCATGGTTTCAACCATGGCTCCAACGTGGTGTGAATGGAAGTCGCACCCAGCCAGATTTCTTTTTGGTTTGGGGACGGAGAAGCAAGTGTCAGGTCTTCGCCCATGTCGATGGCAGGTCTTCGCCCAAGGCGGATGCAGTGCAGCTCTGGCTGGCGGCCAAGGCGTGGGATTTTTTGTTCGTCGCGTTTGGGAGTTGGTTTACCCTGCTAGGTCCCCCAGCAGTGCCCTTTTACCGTTTCTTTCTTGGGGGAGGAAGTTCCCCTACCAAAATAGACTACAGAAAAAAGTTGGTACTCTTATTCTATTCTCTCTCTTGGAGGACCTAGCCTAAAGAAGCCCCCCAAATTAGGGTGATTTTGACGTCCTCCAGCAACATTGGTGAACAATCCATTTTTTGTAGGTCCCCTCCCTGTCACATGGACATGACACCTGACAGGGGGCTCTTTAAGAGGAACCTGATCTTCCAGGTACCCTCTCACAGATGCCATGCTTGGGGGAGAAAGGGTAGAGAGCAGCTAAACGACGGTTATGTCTACAGGGGTGTGAATTTCCAAATGCCAATTCCGGTAGAAGTGTCTGGTTTCGTAGAGAACCCCCTTCTTGGTGCTTTCATTTCTCCATGTTTGCAGGGGCCATGGAAATTGACGGGCTGAGAAAAGAAGCCCCTTGGTCATTGTCAGATGGCTGTGGGTCACATTTACCAGGGTTCCCATTTTGGGTACATATTTTTGACCCACTGCCAGACGTGGCTGATCTTTTGTTTGCCTTCTCTTTCGGTTCTTCATTGTTGTGTTCATCCAACAAGTTGTATTTTTATGCGTGGGGTCAGAATTTGACCCGAGTTTCTGTTGGTGGGTGCACTGTAAAGCCCGCCCCATGATTGTGAGGTATTTTAGTTCAATACCACCCACGCGCCCACGCTTAAAAACACACGCTTTTTATTATCGGGACTTTACCTTTTACTTTCGTACGAGTTTTAGCAAGAAACACATAAATCCTTCATCACCAGCTAAACATTGGGTTTCGGGCGCCTCTTTGGTGACTGAGGCACCTGCAGTTGCTTCCGTGATTTGCCAGTCAACCCTTGTTCCCCACTTGTGCAGCTGCGGGGTTCATGGGTGGCAAAGGGAGCATCAAAGGTGGGTGCTCAGAGAACCGCTCCCTTTTTTGCTGGTACCTGATTTCTCCATGATATCACTCCCTTGCAATCAAAGAGGCAGTGTGTATTGCCGTAGACAATGGCCTTCCTCTGAGCAACTTGCGTCAGCATGAGGTTCGAGTACAATGTGTTGTTCACATACGTCACCATGTTCATCAGCTCTGTGTAGAAAAAAGAAGATGCCCGGAGTAGGGTTCCCCGAAACCACCAGTGCCGGACAACTCTGTCAGTAGTACTTACTTACGCTCTGATGTTGAAACATAAGGCCCAACCTTGGCTGAAACTTGGTGGCTCTAAATTTGGGGCTATATCCTATTTTTAGTGAACTTTGAGGGTCCAGGAACAAGCTTGCACAGATCACCCTGAAATTCGGCAAAGGTCCGGCGCTTCGTATTTGACGAACTTCCTGATCTGGGGCTGTGTTTCTGCTGTGGATGGACGAAATTCTGCAGCAAATTGAAACCATGGTTGAAACCATTCGCGGGATGGATTCGATTCCATGACCCCGCAGGAGCGTGCGCTCCAGTCGCCGCGGAAGCGTATCGCGCGGCAGCTCGAGTTATGAGTGGAGTTGCCGTGGAAGTTGTATGCCAAGAAACCTTCAGCCAGTCCTATATGTTCCCGCATTGTTTGGAGACTTGAATCCCCCCTTTCCAAACCTCCACTGGCTGGTTTAATATCATTACCTTTTGGCCTGGCGGCCAAGGCTTGGTCAGTTTCCTTTCGGGATGTTGAAAGAGGACTTAGAACCTTCGGCGAGAGTAAAGAGTTCCGAGGGTTGGTGCAGATCATTGATGAATTTGTCTGACTTGTCAACAGTCGGTGGGGGGGAGGCGGAAAGGCCAAGTGATGCGCTCGGCTGTTTGTCCCTTTTTGAACATCCGAGTGTATCCATGGGTATTGAGATCATGGACCTTGGGTCGCTTGGCTTGGTGGATCACTAGGCTTGCCATGGAACAGGATTTGGTCTAGCAGCTTGACTTGAACTACCTGGACCCTCAAGCTACCCATAAAAAAGGGACTTCTCCCTACAAATTTTGGGGCTATAGCATTTTTTCAGGGAAGTTTGCTTTGGTCCCAAAGTGGAGCTTGCGGCCTGGCCGGTGCTGCGAAGGATGCGTGCATTTCTCGGCCCAGTTCCCCGTTCTCAACCATCCTTCTTTCAATCAGCGGCCTCCTCCGGGGCACACCTAGTGGATCCCCTCTTCCTTTTTTCTTTTTCCACAGCTGTTCCTCTTTCTGAAAGAAGGATTCCCTGAACGAGACGGGAATGTTATCCCAGATATCCCCATTGCAGCTGCGCTGGTCAGGGTCAACACGCTGACACCTTTCCTGAAGCCACGCCCAAGGCCCGATTTTGACGAGGCTATGACCTTCCTAGAAGGCCATTTTGGTTTGCGTGGTTGCCACCATTCGGCCCCAGTCGCAACATGTTGAAGCAACCACACCCTGGTTCCTTGTGAAGGGCAACAACAAAGAGGTTGAAACATGAACAAGGGGATTGTTTCTGGAAATGAGGAAACAAAACGGTATGTAGTGAGTATTTGTGCCTAACATCTGTGTCTATGACTCTGACCTATGTACCTCCTACAAGCGCGTTTGTCTAAGGTTATTTCCACCATGCCCAAACCATCGTATCTGTTATAGTGGTTGGGCGTGGTTTGGGGGTAGTTGAAATAACAAGGGCAACGGAAAGACAGTTTCAACAAGGGTTGAAGCATTCAAGAGGGGCTTAGCGTTTCTTGCGTTTCTTGCAGATGATTTTCCCCAAGGGTTAGAACTTGGATGGGACTTTGGGGGTCCCAACATAAGCGCTTTTGACCATTGAGCACAATCAAAGCTCGGGTAAGTGAAGGTTAGTAAGGGACGATCCCAGCCATAAAGCCATAAATAGCTGCAGCCGTTTTCTTAGTTCTTCCCATGGTTCTGGGTCGATTTTGCACCGAATGGGTTTTGAGCAAGCGCCTCACTTGGCGTGCGATCCGAATCGGGATGTCGGGTCTCCCAAGCTCCCTCGAGGCCTTGCCGCAACATGTGCCGAAATCGCGGCCCACCAGAGCATCTCGGCGCGCAGAACGGGCGGTTTTCTCTCTCCGCCGGGGGGTGCGGGTGTTTCTGGCGAGGAACGCCTAAGGTGCAAGATGAAAGTGTCCAAACAGGGAGGGGTGCGGGTGTTCGGCGAATCAACTCATGTTCGGCATTCTGAATAGTGCGGCTCTCGGGGCAATTCAGCTTTGTTTGAAGTGTTCTTCCACCCAACGGCATGAAACCCAACATGGGGCTGTTGGAAGAACATTTTCCTTTAGGGCGCTCTCGTGGGCATCGTAATCGGTGCTAGGGTAAATATGGTAACTCACAACTCAAGAGCGACTTGGGTATGGGTCACCACTACACCACCAGGGCATTCAGTCCTTTCTATTTACCAGGGCAACCCATTTTTGGGTTCCCCTAATTAATTATTCTTGACCCAGACCCACTGCCAAACTCAATGGGCCAGACTTTGTTTCGAGCCTTCACAAACTCAACTGCTCAAGGGATTTGGTTTCAATTCCGTTCGAAGACGATCGAATCTAAGCGTGACACAACGGCCTTTGAGCCAAAGGGGACTTGGCATAGGCGTCGTTTGCTTAGAAATAGATGGGTTCCATGGTTTTATAAGCCATTTGTCAGGGAAACCCATTTTTTCCCAAAAGGAAACCTCAACTTGGTTGATGAGCGTCCCGCAGCATATTCAGAGTTGCATAGAGCAAGGTACTGGTTGGGGGTTCCAAAGACTTGGGCAGCACGTGCCATCGCCTTTGCATCGCCGGTGCTGTACTGCTCGTGATTATGAACAACGTCGGCGTCGGCGGTCTCATATTTCTCGTCAACTTTGCAGCGGCCACAAATCCTGCCTCAGCAACGCTGGACAGCGTGCGGAAGTCAGGAATCTTGAGGGTTGGAGCCACGCTGGACTATCCGCCATTCTCATTGAGATGCAAAGACGGCAGCGCGGCTGGAGCTGACATTGATGCCATGGACTCACTTGCTCGGACACTAGGCGCCAGCATTGAAATTGTCCCGACGACCTGGCCTACGTTGCAATCAGATGCTGCGCAGGACAGGTTCGACATTGCAGTAGGCGGCATTACCGTGACGCTTGCACGGCTGCGTCTCGTAGCGATGGTACCCACCGGGGCGAAAAGCAGCAAGATTGCGGTCGCACGTTGTGGCAATCACCTCCTGAGCTTGCCGCTTGATGACCTCGACGAGTCCTCCATTCGCGTGGGCGTCAATCCTGGCGGAACGAATGCAGCCTTTGTCCACGACCACCTGCCGCACGTGAAGGTGACCAGCCTGGCCCAGGGCCAGCAGTGGCCCAGCATACTTGACGGCAAGGTGAATATGACCGTCACCGATTCCATTGAGGCGCGACTCGAGGCGCTCAGCAAGCCGGGCGAGCTCTGCGCCGGCGCAAGGCCACTAAGCAGCTTTTCGGAGAAGGGCTTCTTGCTGCCCAACCGCAGCGATGTGGCGTGGAGGCAGTATGTGCAAACTTGGTTTTATAAGGAAGCCAGCACGTACAATCACTCCGTGGATGCCTGGCTTGAGCGCCAGGCAAATGCCACTCTCCATGACAGCTGGGCATGCCAGCATGGGTTTGCTGTCCTAGGACTAATTTGATCCTCGTTCTCTTAACGACTTTTCTTTTGTGACTCCGGTGTTTCCAAACACCAGACGTCAAGCAGCGATGATATGGGTGTGACTCTCTTTTATGCGTGTACCGCTTTGTATAGAACAAAAAGCAACCAAAGGGAGACCGAACCCGCGAAAGGGCCGAGCTCGTCTTCTCGAGTCTTCAGACTCAAGGTTGAGACTCGAAGCGTGCCCGAAAAGGTTGCCGTCGTCGACACGTTTCTTAAATTCGCCCCTGCTCCCCCCCTCAAAGAGGTGGGTGTACAACCGTTCAACAAATAGGCGTTCCTCAAAATGTAGTTCTTTCTGCGACGTGGGGTGTTTTCTGAATCTGGTCGCCGGAAGGTCTTGCTTGATGCGTGGCGAGCTTGGGGTTCTGGGAGTTTCCGAGGATTCACAGATCTCGCCAGACCAGTGGTGCACTTGCTGTCCTTTTAGAGAATGTCCCTTTCAAATCCACGTTTCACCACACAAAAAAACAAGGGAACTCCCCACGTTTTCCCACACAAAAATACACAATATGTCCTTTATGGGGAAGAACATGCGAAACATGCGTATTTTTACTATGCTTCACGTGGCTTCCGAGTCGGTCAACACGAAAGTCCGGGTGCAGAACAGTGGCTCGGGCGCCCTTGCGGACCCGAACCTCATCCCTTCGCAAGCTCTTGAAGACACAGCTTAATTGATCAAGTTGACCCCTGATTCATCAACCCCCTTTTATTGATAATGTAGGTTGGCTTTAAATCGAAATCACAACGAAACTGGCAAAAAAGGCCAGTTTAAAAAGGGCCCAGGTGTTGTCTTTTTGCAAGAACCCGCATGCGCGACGGTCAAATGACCTGCGCACTCCACCTGTCCCATCCTGAGGCGGCTGGGCAGCTGATTTGCTCGCCTAGGCGAGTGCAGCGACTGGGACCATGGCTTGGCAAATAGTTTACTCACTTGCCCTTTGACCTTTTGGTTTTCCCATTTTGGTCCATTTTTAATAAAGGTCCCAAAAGGTTAACCTTTTATTTCCAGGTCTTTTGGGCAAGTGAGTTTATATATATATATATATTAGACATACAGTTTGGCGACATGAGCCATCCAGTTCCTTGGATTTTTAGCTTTTTAGTGGTTGACTTTCCGTTTAACCCCCCACGAAAAGTTCAACTTTTGGCAGGGGATCTGAGGACCGCCCAGATAGCTTTTGGTGTGACCGAATCGCCCAAAAAGAGAGACCTTTGGGAAACAAATGTGGCTTTTCCATGCAACCTATATACAAAGGTTAGACCTTTGCTCGGGGCGGAAGAGCAACCCAGTTTTAGGGCCACTTTCTGTGACACCAACGGAACCTCCTCTTTAGAGTGAGATAGTCATGGGGATGGGAGCCCTATTTTCTATCACAAATCATCATTTCCCGTTTCAGGCAACCAAACATCCCAAGAAGGGACACATATCCTGTCTTAGGCAATCAAGCATCCCAAGAAGGTCGAGCATATCCCGTTTCAGGCAACCGAACATCCCAAGACGGGGACATAAGGGCCTAAATGATTCCTCGTTTACTCCTATGTTGACAGAAAGGGTTCTGTTTCTTCAAGCCGGTTTTTCCGAGTTGAATCGGCCAGGTCTGAGGAGGCGATCGAGCCGGCGCTCAGGGTTCAGGCCGTTCGGGCTGACTCAGAGGGCACCGCATCCCGGTGCCTTTTTCGCCTTGGGATGTGGAGGTTTCCTCAGCAAATCTGCCAACACCGGGTGGCCTGTTTCGCAATGACCGCCGGGCGCCTGGGTATCTGGGTAGGTTCAACCTGGAAATGCCAGCGAAAGGCCGGGCTCAGAACGAGATTGAACTATTTCCAGGGCTTTCGGCTCGAGAAGTTCCTTCATATTGGAGGGCACAGGGCACCCTTTTTGAGGCTGATTTAAAGGGAAACCAAAGGCAAGTCGCGTGTGGTGGCTCCATGTGGAGACTCGAATCCAAACGACAAGGTCCATTTTTGGATGGACGACCAGTTCCATGCTTCTCGGCCCATCTCGTATTTGTTCTTTTCATTTGGCGAACAAAGTGCCCCGGGTGAACCATGTCTTGGATGCGTGCTGTTTGCTTTTTGATTAGGCGCCAAGGTAGGAATTTCATGTGGATGGACACAAACCTGCATCATTGCGATGGATCAAACCCTCTGTGACAACCCCCGTGTTAACTGCAGGATTTGGGCCCCCCCGCTCCCCCCCAAAAAAACAACAGTCCTTTTGGTTTCCATGTCAACCACCCGAAAAAACCACAAAAACTCGCAAAAGAACGGGCCATGTCAACCACCCGAAACGGGGTGTGCCCTCCAAACTGGCCGAGACGGCCATGTCGGAACGCGAAGACCTGCCAGGTGAGCGATGTCGACCCCCGGCACCTCACGGCCCGGAGGCGCCTAGCAGAGCGGCGCCGAGCGAGCGCCGAGCGAGCGGAAAAGTTTGCCTTAACGGATAAGAGTGTCTTCCTTTACATGGACTTTTTTTGGAGTTCGAACTTTTTATGGACTTTTTGTCTTGGGGCTTCGAAACATGTTTGTCACAAACACTCCAGTGTTTTTTCTTTCTCTTAATCAAATTGTTATCACCTGTTGGCTAGCTATAGATGATCACATGGTTGTTGCAACGTTTTTGTTTTTTTTCCCGCTTATTGTGGTTTAGTGGTTGAAATCATTTCCCACTTAGCTGCTAACATTTGAGAATTTGTGCTCCCCTTCCAACGTCAACCAAGTTTAGGGGACCCTCGTAGCAGAAAAGGGGTGCCCTCACAAAAACAAAAAATCATAAGGGTGCCCATTCATTACCATATGCACAGTACATGTGTACTCCTAAATGACTTCGGCAGGTTGCTGGTTTTTCAACACCTGCAAACATCAACCCCACACTCCCCCACACCCACTGGGCTACTGAGATTTTGTGCAATCAGAGACCAGCTTCCGTTTTTGTTTTCTCTGGCTTTCCATTTGGCAATGCGATTTGTTGCTTTCTCTTTTGATCCAAAGTCATAGCCCAAGCCTCTTATTCTCAGCTCTGTATAGAGGTTTGGGTCCGCAATGCCATGAGTACCAAGGTTCGAAAGCTTAAATCTTTCTTCCCCAGAATTAGTTCCCATTTTTACATTGTTTTTCGCTTTTTTGGGGTTCCCTGTTGTTTTCCACCGGGCAAAAAAGATATATATATATATACACATATATTCATTTATTTATTTTTGCTGGGGTCCGAATTCCAGCCAAGATAAATCACAGCACGTGGGTACTCCTCGCCGAGTTGGTGACGACGGAGCCACTGGCTGCCAAATCTACAACCCGACGCCAACTCACTTCTTGAGTTTCTGGACTTTATTTTTTGGGGTTCGAACCATTTTAGTCACAAACACTCCAGTGTTTTTTTCTCTCAATCAGATTGCTGAATCGCCAAGTGGCCCAATCGATCCTGTTCCAGACTGGTGCCGGCCAATCCACTCGCGAAGTGAGCCAAACAAACCGGACCATGTGCTTAACCAGCCAGCCGCTCGGAAGCCACCTGAAGCCAATGCGAAAACCGAAAACCGAAAGCCATTGATCCCATTCCACGGCGATGTGTCTGCCCAAACATGGACTCAGTTGTTCAGTGCATGGGCTTCCAAGGCCTCCTTTTGTTAGGCCTAGGCCTTGTTTTGTTCCAGAGGCCTTGAATCGGGTGTGCAGAGGCCTCAACAAGTAAGGGCAAAGGGGCAAAGGCCTTGAAAAGTTGGGGGTGGCCACCTCGTGCAGTTTCTGGCAAATATATTTACTCGAAGGGATTTGGCATTTTGTTGAATGCGTGTAACATGCATTTGCGCATGCCTCAGCTGAAGGGTCTCGAGGAGTAGCCAAAGCCAAAAACTCTCCTTTGCAGAATCATGGCTGCAGCCTTCCTACCATCTTGTTTGGGACTCTCTTTAGTTTGAAGCCCCCCTTCGTAGATATCTGCTTGAGAAATTGGAGCCAAACTAACAACAAGATCTGCAAATTGTTGCCTGTGTCAGCAAAACGCTAGGCTGCATTTTGCCCAGCGAAGTGACTCAGAGCACCAGCTGGACCGTGGACAACCCGTGGAAAGGCCTCAAAAAGGCGTGGAAAGGCCTCAACAAGGCGTGGACGCAATGCCAAAAAGCGAGGACAGCGCAGAAAAACCCAGCAGGACCACATGACGCTACTGCCAAAACCCAATCTTTTGCTTGGGCCAACTGCAGCCTTCGTGCAAGAGCATGGCATTTGTTCCACGAAAAATGCAGGGTCGCCGAAACTGTGCCGACACCTTCAAAGGAAGCATGGAATCGTAACTCCACTGGAGTTCGTCCAACTGCCTTGGAGCAAAGCAATGCGAGGTAAAGATGTGAGAGATTGAGAGCACAAAGGACAACATGTAGCGATATCGTGGGTGACGCACCATATGCAGCCAATGTAAAACCATGTTTTTTGGGCCAGGAATAAGGGGCCAAAAGCCTTGAAAAGGCGTGGATACTTACCTCTTGACAAATCAAGGCCTCTTTCCAGAGGCCTCCTTTAGACAGGCCTTTTGAAGCGCAGGGCAGTGGCTCCCTTTTTCCCCTTTTTTTGGTGGCTGCCCCACTAAAATGGTCTTCCCCAAAAAGGGTTCCCTTTTTTTCCAGGGTCACTGAACAACTGAGACTTTAGGGCGAGCGATTTCGAGTCGAAGGAACGAGCGAAGACCCGATAGATCGATCCTTGGTTTGGGCATCCAAGTAGTATTTGCAGGTTTTTGAGTTAGCGAACCTCACTTCCTGAGCTCCTGGATTTTAAACTGTTTGAGGCCAATTTAGTTGTAAACAGAAGGTCTGGATTTTTTTCCGGCCAATGAGGTAACATGAACAGTTGATTGGCGTCTTTCAGCACTAGCTATGACTTTTGATGGAAAGCCAGCCACCAAAGGGGTCCAACATGGATTACAGTATGGCTTTGATATGAGGCCAATCCTTGCTCCTTTTCCAGCCGAAAGTCTGCAAATGGTTCAGAAGTTTTGGGCCACTGCAAGCGGAGCCATGGGAAACTCAGTCCTCAGTGGCCCCAAAAAGTGACAATAGTCATTGATAGTCACTGTGATGGTTGCGAAATCCCAGAAAGCGCACCAGGAAATGAAGCCACGGGAATGAAATCATAGCGGTTGCTGGTATTTACGTTGGGGAATCAAATCAGAAACCAGGGTTTCTGAACGGTGGTGGAAAATGGATTTCGTCCATCAGCAGTATGTCTACCCTAGACAGAAATAACATGAAATGTCAACATTGCCAATACATGAGCACACAACTTGTCCGGAGCAGAACCAGACACGCTTCAAAGCACACGGCTCAATCTGAAGACAAAATACTTCTCTGAGAAGGCTCCGAATCACTTGCTGGTGCTCAGTAGGGAATGACCCAGACCGGGTGCTGGGAATGAACCGGTTTTGGGAAAACCTCCCACCAATTCACATGGAACCTGACAGGGGGGGGGTTTGGAAGACCATTTTCCTAAAGGACCCCCCGTTAGATTCCATATCAATTGGGTGGGCGGGTATCCAAGAAGCAGATCAACAGGTCCAACGGTTTGTTTTTCTTCCCTGGAGGAGGGAAGCCTCTGGGCGCGGTCCTGTCATCAAGGACAAGGCCGGAGAGATGATGGAAAGCCATTCGGTTGGTTTTGGTTTCTCTTTGGTGTGGCCCTTGGTTTTACTTTTTGGTTGCCCTTGGGTGTCCCATAGGTTGCCCTTGCATATCCCAGTGGTGTCCCTCAACAAGATTGTTTTGTTGGTTTCCTTTGGTTTCCCTTTAAGTTTCCCTTTGGTTTTTCCTCGAACCGACCCAAATAGGAACCCTTGAAAAAGAAACGCACTCATTCCCCCTTCAACCTCAGCGCCAGGATGGTTTTGCAGTGACCAAACCCTTCAACCAGACATGTCAAGTTGCTTCTTGCTTCTTACACAAGCAGTGCTAACAGTGGCATCTCATGTTGGCCAACTTTCTTTGGCTCGCTGAAGCAAGGTACTGCCCGGTGGTGGGTCTTGTTTTTATAAGTTTCCATGCTAAGCTCGGTACAAAGGACTTGTTGGCTGAAACAACCAGCCCGTGGTTGCCTGAGGGAAACCACCAGGCGGATCTTCAAACAGTCGCTTCGAAGCCCAAATGAGGTTGTCATGGGAGGTACATGGAGGGACATTGCAATTCCCTCTAAAACAACAGGGACTCACAGATTGTTCAGCGTTTTTGTTGGGGAGCAAGTCATTTTGACCGTGACTCCATGGATCATAGGACAGGAACCTTGCGGTTTCGCTATGCAGTTGAATTGCTGTCAGCCTGCGTCTGGGGATTCAAAGAAGCCAGATCCGATTTGGGTTCCGGCAACAGGCTCACAGGAGGGCAACAGCGGTGTTGGCCCAAGAACGCCCCCCCAATTTGACCATTGACGGCTAACAACCTGCAATAATTCAATACAAATTGGAGGAATTTATGACATACAGCACACCAAAACTGTTTGCCGTTTTGGGCAAGGGATCAACCAACCATGTGAAGATAGGGTGAACCCCCGAAAATGAATGGTTTCCCTTTCAGCCTTCCCCAAAATGGTCCCCTCAAAAACAACATACACATAGACACCGGCACAAACACAAACGCAGACACAGAGGCACACAGACACAGAGACACAGAGAGACAGAGACACACACACACACACACAAACATACTGCCGGTAGCAGTGTTGAAGACTGCCAGGAGCGGTCCCAGTATCCCCCCGGCCCGGCGGCCCGGCAAACCCACTGTTGTTGTCACCTTTTGGCTAGCGATGATCACATGGGTGTTGCAACGGGAAACATGTTTCCCATTTTTGCTTATTGTGGTTTGAATGGGAAATCCCCACTTAACTGCTAAAGTTCAATTTTTTGCTCCCCTTCCAACGTCAACCAAGATCATGGGTGTTTGTTGGCTGAACGTATTGATATGTATCCATGTATGTATGTTTGCATATGCACATGTGTGTTGCCAAAGTTTCCTTGACTTGTGGGTTTAGACTTTGCTTCCGACCGCCCACATTCACGGACGTTTCTTTGGGTCACCAACATTAATGGGTGTTCTTTCGGGTGAAAGAGACAGGGGAAGTACAAGGAAGCCTGATACTAGACGCAGCAGTCTGTTTCAGACGTAGACATCAAAGAGAAAAGGTTCAGGTGCACCTGGTGTATACCTGACGCGCCATAAAGGCAGTGCTTGCCACTGATATGTCACAGTACAGTTGGGTGAACATACCTGCCATTCCATGATGTTGGTTCAGTCAACTTCTATACTTATACACATAAAATGGGAATTGTGCCATCCACTTTCACCCTGGTGTACATGGTAGCATGATCCATTCGCAAGCCCTTATGTTGGCAGTGGAATGAGGCCACAACAAGCAGTTGGAAATGGTTAGTGTCAGGTTGCTACTTTCTGTGAGCCAGGGGCCTCTTGATAAGTCTCAGCCACTTTGGCCTTACAGAAATGTGTGTGTGTGTGTACGTGTGTGTTCATAGAGGCACCCCCGCCAAATTGCCTTTTTCCCATTTGGTTTCCCTTTAAGGCCACTCCAAACAGCGTACCAAGCCTCCAAAAAACACATACACGCACACACACCCAAACAGTTATTCAACCGCCATAGAAAAGGAGGCCGCTGCAAGATTGCCTCTTCGGAAGAGGAGATTTGAGGGGGGTGCATGCCTTGTTGATTTGTTTCCTTTTTTTTTCTTTTCTGCAGGTTCCCTTCCATGAGGAAAATGTCAGGTTTGCAAAGGGTCCACTTGTTTGGTGGTGGATTGGGGGAGCGTAGGTACCATTGTTGCTGAGTTTGGTTGAACATGGAACTTACTGGTTTCAGCTTGGTTCTTTTTCATGCTCCCTCAGAGCCGTGCTATGTTTTTTTTTTCTCCAAGGCACCGAAGCTAGGGACGAAGATTCAAAGGGAATCAACATGAACTCCCGGCTTTTCAGTTGGGTCGGTTTCTGCAGACTCCTTTTTGGTGAGTTTGGTTGAACACGGTACATGAGCGTTCTCCTTGCGACACCTGAGGGTCCCACACCCCCCTTCACGAACCAAAAGCAGGTAGTTCTACCTGGTCTCGCAGGGCTTATTTGCATAGGTGATTTGCGAACTCATGCTGGTCAACGGGTATGCATGTGGCCAACCCTCCCCCATCCGAAATATATTAAACATAGCGATCAATACTATATTATATTATATACATATATACAGATGTACGTTAAAACAAAAACAAAAAAGCCCCCTCCCCCCCCCCCCCACCCCCCGGCCGCAAAGAAAAGAAAACCAAGAAAGGAAGTCGCATTGAGAAATGCAGCCCGTCCAGAGGTGAAGCGACCGCTGAGGCAAGTCCATGAGGCCTTTGCGGAAGGCCAACGAGGAGAGTTTGCAAAAGCCTGGGGGCCCGGCGCTGTGCCGCGAGCGAAGGACTTGTCTGGCTGTGTTCCTGTGGCCTGCTCCCCAAGTGACTTGAAACTTTTAGGGAGAAAACAAGTTTTCAGCTTCCCTCTTGGTGGTTTGGATGGGCCAGGGGTGAGGGGGGTGGTTTTTTTTCTTCTCAGGTTTCTACATAGGCCAGGGAACCCGTTCAAATCTAAATCCAAGCCACGAAATCTAGACCAAGGGTTACCCGATCCCTACTCCCATCAGTCACCGGGACAAATATGAAGTTTCAAAGTCATGGTTGTGAAACACTGGTTTCATGTTGACCCATAGTGGAGGAAATTTGGGTTCTAAGGCCACTTTCTGTGAGGGGCCCATGCATGAAGGGCTCACATGGGTATCATTATAGCGTCGTCACTCGTGGGAATGACAGGTATTTGTGACAGAAAGGGTGCTTCTCCACATCCATGGATGAGTTTTCGCGCAGTGGAGCTAGTTTGTGCTCGGGTGTTCGGCCAAGGTTACGTATTAGTTTGCTGGCAACCTAGGTCCTAAGTGGAGCCCAGCATGATAGTGGATTGCAACCCAAGTGGCTAACCACTCATCAACTTTGCCAAACATCCAAGCACAACGGGTAGCGTAAATTGTGGGGCTGATTGACTGGCTGATTGAAGGAATTTCATTTTGTTCCTTATGCGAAGTTATGCAAAACCACCCACATCTCCACATTTCATTCTGTCTCCGCCCCGCGCGGCCACACTCGTTTCACTTTTCCTGACTCTTGCCTGGTTGCGCTTGCTACACGGGTGCTGAATGTGAGGCTTGGGCAACCATGTGGTGCCGATAGGCATCCCCAGACATTCAGATGACAAAGTAGTCGATGACCAGATGTTGGATCATAAAAGGGGATGTTGGGAGCAGATTGTGAAGTGGATACACTTTACATGGATGGTTCACTCAAACATTAATCATTATTCAGTGCAACATCCTTGCTTTGCCTCCTAAAGGACATCCGACAATACAATCTTGGTGAAAGGGGAGGATGGGGCCGAGCCAAACTCACAGAAACCCGAAGACCCGACTGTTCTCATGTCCTTTAGATGATATGTGGTTCGTACATAACATGAGCAGCTGGCACCGTTTTGCCTGTGGCCTGTGGTGTCTCTTCGAAGGATCTTGGAGGGTACCTCCCAATTTTCCTACCATCAACAAACCCCAAGTCTACCACCTCCAAATTTCACGGAAGCCACCAAACATCGTTATTAGAGGGTCCAGATTGTATTACATATTCAATTATCCCCTAAGTATCATTGGACCTTTCATTGGAGGAGGAAACGGATCTCCGCTGTTGGACCTCAACAAAAAGCCTTTTTGAGGTCCCAAGATGCTGAGGGCTGGCCTAACAGTTGAAAAACCTGTTTGGTCCTCCACTCAAATGGGGGCTTCTCAAGACATCGTTTTGGCTGGTAGCTATATAAAGGCTACCAATAGGAAGCAAAGCTTTTTCCCGACCCGACAGGAAGGGGTTGTTAAATTTTATGTTGGAATCCGCGTTTGCGATGCTTCTACACCACACCCCCACCCAGTATCCCGCCAGAGCAGCTCGCCAGTGGATCCCGCCGAATATCCCGCCAGAGCAGCTCGCCAGTGGATCCCGCCGAGTATCCTGCCAGAGCTGCTCGCCAGTGGATCCCGCCCAGTATCCCGCCAGAGCTGCTCGCCAGTGGATCCCGCCGAGTATCCCGCCAGAGCGGCTCGCCAGTAGATCCCGCCGAGTATCCCGCCAGAGCGGCTCGCCGGTGGATCCCGCCGAGTATCCCGCCAGAGCAGCTGGTCAGTGGATCTCGCTCGCCAGCGGATCCCGCCGAGTATCCTGCCAGAGCGGCTCGCCAGTGGATCCCGCCGAGTATCCCGCGCTCGCCAGCAAATCCCGAGCATTCCGCTGAGTATCCCAGAGAAGCTCGCCAGTGGATCCCGCCGAGTATCCCGCCAGAGTAGCTCGCCAGTGGATCCCGCCGAGTATCCCACCAGAGCAGCCCGCCAGTGGATCCCGCCGAGTATCCCGCTGAGTAGCCAGTGGATCCCGCCGAGTATCCCGCTGAGTATCCCTTGTCGGTGGATCCTGCCGAGTATCCGGCCAGTATCGAGCCAGCGCGGCTTGGCAGCATTCGCCAGTGGATCCCGCCAGTATCCCGCCAGAGCAGCTCGCCAGTCTGGTTTCGCTTAATGTCCCGCCCGGCGCACAGCTGCATGGGTTTACATTTCATGTTGGTGCCTTCGTGTTTTGAGTGCACCTTGAGGCCCAAAAGGGTGATGCTTTTGTGTTGCTTTGGGTTGTGAATAAGCAACTTCGCTTAATCCCCCGTCGGGTTTCTTTTTGGAAGGGGCCTGGCTTTTGTTAACGGAACCGATGTTTGAGTTCTCAAGATCGGCTCGCAAAGAAGTGGAGTTTGACACACAGACAGGTGGACAAGGCTCTCAATGCAAAGCTTGTTGAGCAGTCATAGGCGCCAAGCCACTCGAAAACCATTCTTGAATTCACACACCCGTGTTCAAGGTCGTAAGCTCGTGAGTATGGAGGGTGGGGATTCGTGAGTATGGAGGGTGGGGATTGCTCGAACCGAAATATTTGTTCTTCTCAAAACGCCCTTTTGTTTAGTAGTTCAATACAAGCAAGCGAAAGAATACAACCCGTGTTTGGGCGTCCCCTGGCTGAGGCTGACCGAGGCTTTGGGCGATCCCAGCCGGGTCAATGCGGTGCCCTCCCCGCTTGTCGCGCCAAATCGCCGGATCGCTTGCGGGCTCGTGGGGAAATCGGGTTCATAGAAACCCGCTACAAGAATTCTACAGGCTTGGCAGTTCCCAGCGGTCCGACTCCTTAGGTTTAGGTTTTTGGTTCTTTGGGTTTAGTGGGTCGTCCAGTTTAACCCACTAAAAGTTAGAATACTTTCAGGGGATCTGAGGACAGACCAACAGGACGTTGGCCAACAACCCACCAAAGACAATGCTTGTTCTTACATGTCCTTTAACTGGTTTCTCAGGCATGTCTTTTAAGTAGCCCGTTTTAGAGGTTCTTAAAAGCGGAGACCAAAAAACACTCCCACCCATGCGGTGCCCTTCGGAGACAAACCTGCAATGGAAGGGGCTGAATTACATATATTTGTCCCGTGCTACTGAGGTATTTAGATTTCATCGTGTCATGCCCACTTCTGATGATGTTGGCCGCAGTAATAAGTTAAGACCTGAAGTGGGGGCAGTTCTGAAAGCCAGAAGCACAGCTGTGAGAGTCCACATGGATGTGTCCTTTTTTTTCGGACACCCTTTTTGTTTGGTTTGAAGGCAAAAGTTAACAGGAAGTCCGGTTCCTGTTTTGAGACAAACCCAAATTGACATTGCACTTCCATTTCCTTTGGCCTGAGATGCTTGCTCTGTGCCTGCAGGCTTGGAGGATGGCATAAATGGCATCAAGCTGAAAATTGCTGTTTTGCAGTGGCGCCTTCTACCTGGTTTCCACAAACGAAGGGACCAAGGGGAAGCCCTTGCAACATTGCATTCCCACGAACGTCTGGGTGCAACCGAACGTTTTGTTCTCTGGCTCCGCTGGCTGGTAGCTTGAATATCGGGGCGATCACTTTCCTGTTTCGAAGGTGGCACGGGAGTTGCCTGAAATCACGTGCCGGGGGTTCCTCCATTTCCCTGTTGGGCTCCAAAGGTGGCGATTCTTTCAAAGGAAAGCACCAGCAAATTTTAACTTCCGAACGGGACATCCAGTGACCTGTGCACTTTGCTTGCTCCCAAGGTCCATTTTCCGAGTGGGAAAGTGCCCACTCATGGTTGGTGTGGCAAATAGAATGGGCCAATCGGAGTTTGTTTCCTAGGGTTCTTGGTGGGGCTGGTGTGGATAGTACCTGTTCTTTATCCGATCGCTCGACCGGTGAGCAGTCTTCCGCGCAGAAACAGTCGCATCCGTCGAGATGCTTCACCATCGTCCCGAAGACAAATCTGAGGGTGGTTTGACAGGGCTGCGGTTTGATCAATCAGCAGGATCACTTTCGTGACCGAACGAAAGGAGGGCAGAGGAGTCGTTTAGACGGGGTACCATGGTTGTTGTTGGGAAACATTTCCCATTTTTGCTTATTGTGGTTAAGTGGTTGAAATCCAAATCCACTCAACTGATAAAATCTGAGAATTTTTGCTCCCCAAACCCAACGTCAACCAAGGTACCCATTAGTTCCCTTGAAATGGACCGCCTCTTTCGGCACATTCCAAAGCGCCAGTCACATTTTGGCCGGCTGAATGATCACAGCAGCCAATGGGCCGCTGCGCATGCGAAGCAAATGCTCGCGTGCCAAACTAGGCTCATCTGCTTTCTGTCTCAGAAGCAGCGGTGGTTAAGGCGGGAATAGGGTCAAATGTCAGCGCCTTTTTTTTAAGTGTTGAAGCTCAAGGGCACTGAATTCATTGCCAAACTCTGGCCTTGTTGCCCACTTTGCCCTTGGGTTCCTTCATTTGGGGAACCCCCCTCCTTCCAAAAATGTGGTTTTCTGTTTGGTCTCCCTTTAAATCCACCGAAAAGGGGTACCCTCAAAAAGACAGACCCACTGTTTCCCAACCGGCAAGAACTTGCTTGTTTTGCAAACGAAGTCCAAGTGAGGCCAAGTTCTGGGGATGCATCATTCCGAGAATCTCGTTTCACGTCATTAAAGTGACTATAGTGAGGTGGCTAAAGGCATGGGGCATTTCACCCCCCCCCCCCCCGTGCAGTGGGGCAACTGAACTGTTTGTTGCTAGGTTTGTTTGATCTTTTGGATGTTGTTCAAAATAGAACTTCCAACAGTAGGTTGTTTCCTTTTGGCGATCTTTAGCTACCAACCAAAACGGGTGTATTGAGAAGCCCCGCATTCGAGTCGAGGACCAAACAGTTCTTCAACTTGTTTGGCCGGCCCCAAGACTCTTAGTGCTTCGACCAGGTGTTTTGTAGGGGATCTGAAAACGGACAGAAACTGAGAATTTACTGTTTCACGCATCTAGCGGGCACCTTGGACAGCAGAGATCTGACAACGGACCGCCCAGCTGAGAATCAGCTTCCCACCTGCCCTGGAGCTTCAGTTTCGCTTCGCTGTGAAGATCACGACGAGGGGCCAAAGCTAAAGCGCTGATGGCGATCTAGTTGGCCGGAGCGGAGATGACGGCTTTGGAGGTGGAGTTTGGAACAATCCCACCCGGTCCCCCAATTCCTTTTTACCGTTTCTTTTTTTGGGGGGGAGGGTAAGTTTCCCTACTCAAATAGACGACAGAACAACGGGTACCCTGATTCTAACCTCTCTACTGGAGGACCTAGAAGGGGAGCCACCCCAGCCTTGTTCTGCGTTGTTTTGCACGGGGTTTCGCGCTTTAAAATGGTCACCCCTTCCCCTCCCAAGCCGGTATCCCTTCATCTACCGAGGATCATTGGGCAACTGGAGGAGGAGGGTGCCAAATACCTCATTTCTTGTTTGTCAATTTGCAAGAGGGAAACCAAACAACATACCTGGACCCTCAAAGTTCCCTTCAAAATGGGTCATAGCCCCAAATTTATTGGGTGACATCCCTTTTTTTATGGGTAGTTTGAGGGTCCAGGTAGGTGTTTCATTCTTTTCCAAAATCAAAACCTTCTGTGGAAATTGGGTATGGTGAGTCCCGACCATGAATAGGGCTGCCTGCTACTTGTTCACTGGTTATTTTGATGCTCAATGCTCCGTTGTGCGGTGTTCATGTTCCGACGCAAATGGCTGGAATTGCGCGGATGTGTCTCAAGCGCATCTCCGGCGGATTCTGGTCAGATGCGGTGGCGCTTTGACTGGGAGGTTCTGGCCACCGGATAAATCGGCGAGTTCGGTGGATAGAGGAGAAGTCCTCGCTAGATCACTTCTTATGAGGGAGATAAGAGCATCAACAGCAGCAGCAGCAGCAGCGAGGCTAGCAACAGCAGCCCAACCACACCACCCACCACACAACACATCCCACACTGTAGTTGCTTGTGCTGGCCAGAATCTTTCCACCGCTCCAGCTAAGCTGGGGCAGAGTCACAGATTTCCGCGCCACAGAAAGGAGGCTAGCCTCGGTTGAGCCTGGCCACCGTTTTCAGAGACAGAAACTCCAGTGGACCAAAAGCCACGGCGCTTCGGTCTTTGACCGAATCTCCCTGAGACGTGTTTGGAAACAAATTCTTGGTCCGTTAAACCATTACCCGCTCTCCCGCAAACAGGGGGACCTGACAGAGGGTCCCTTGAAGGAAATTGATCTTCCAGGTACCCTCTCACAGGTGCCATGTTAGTGGGAGGAAGGGCAAACCAACAAAAGTTGAGGCCTGCAGTTCCATGCCTGTGACTACTTTTCAATAGGAGCCCTGGCGTCATGGAACAAGCCGCTCGGAGGAGTCCAGGAGTTCAGCAGGAGTCGGATCTTCTATGCCACTGGTGTGTTGCATGGGCCCTGCCGCCTCAGTGTATCAACAGTGATACTCACTCCCTGGGTTCCTGGACTTTGCACTTTTTGGGGAAGGCCATCATTTTAGTGGCAAATAAGCAGTTTGAGTTTTTGTTGGCCCAACACACTCAGGGAGTAAGTATAGGAATTGCCATTCCGGAGGTGTTGTTGGACCTTGAGCTGGCCCTGTCTTCACATGGCATCACGGTTGCTGGTTGATTTGAGTCAACCAAACTGGTGCAAGCCGAGTCGGGGCGATTGTTGGATCCCAATCTTGGATGCATCTTTCAAACAGCCTGAAGGCGGTCAGGCAGCAAGAAGGTCTAGATGCTTGACTGAGCCGGCATCTCTTGCCCTGCCAGATCTTGTCGCCCAACTTCTGCTCAAGGAGATAGCTGATCACCAACATGTCTGACTCAGAGCATGTGCTGCCGCAACTCGGCCACAAAACCTGGCATCTGCGATGTATCAGCCCTTGCATTGCCAAACCCAGTTTTTCAGTTGCACCGGTTGTCTTTTCTTCCATGCCCCGAGTGAATATGGATGTTGCTTGTTTTGACGGCATGACACATGCGCTGCGCCAAGCACATGGGGGAACCCCCCCGTTTCCATTTAGAACCACGTCCAATGATGGCCCTTAAGAAACCATGGGAAACAACAGGCTGCGGAGCCCCTTTCTGGCCAAACAAGCTGAAACATGCGAGCAACGGCCCATGAAACCGCCACTCGTTTTTTGTGTGTTTTTGTTTGTGACTCGCTCTCTTAGTCCGTGTCGTCGATTTTACTTACAACAACAGCAGCAACCCCCCACCCCCGCTTGCCCGCATGCCTGGCATCATTCTCCCAATTTGTTTTTGCTCACTCCCGGATCCTGACATTTCACACTGCGCCGACTCTGATTTTCCTGAACTAGTTCCCAACCATTCCCCTCACTTGTTCAGGATTTTCCGAACCATGTCTTGCTTTCACGATTCAAGTTTTTTCCCCAGCATGTCCCAACTTTAGCGATTCCTAGCTACTTCCCAGATTGTCTCAACGATTTCCCCAGGATCTCCTGTTTCCCAAATGGTCCAAACTTTTCCTCAGATGTTCATGCTCCAGATGCCCCAAACTAGAAATCGGGGACCCGCCCAAATGGCCTCGGTTTTCTCCCGCGCCTTCCATTTTCCGAGAATTCGGGCGGAGGGTTGCTGCACTTACCTGCAAATGGCAACGGTTCCCATCACCCTTTTCCAGCTGCTTTTCCCTCATTGCTTACTCCCAGAACCTTTGGACTTTATACTTCTTGGGTTTATTGCTCCCTCATTGCTTCCTCATTGCTCACGTTTTCAGTCCAGTTGTTTCCGGGGTTTGGAGCATTTTGATAGCAACGAAAACACAAATATGGTTTTTTGTTTCGGATCCAGCTGGGCGTGAAGCCAAAGAGCTTCGCCCACTTGCGGATACCCCACTCACTTTCCCCCCAAGAATGGAAGCTGACGATCAGAGGGTTTTGAGACTACTTTGCTTTAGGGGGAACCCCCCGTCCACTTCCGTGATGGTTGGAAAGAGGGTACCAGCCAAAGCAGAGGATTTAAAATGCTCGCACTTCACGTGGGGGCTTGGGAGAACATGAAGGATTGTAGAGGCAGCAGCATTCATGCAGTGATTACGGTTGAGGCGGAGTTCGAACACATGTGAGAACTCGGCGACAAGTGAACTAGCTAGAATCTACTTGCAGGCTCCGCCCGTCACCCGTTAGGGTTTGATCCTTTAAACAACTACATATCATATACATGAATTCCCAAGACCTGAACTAAGGCAACCACTGGGTGAAGGACTTTCATCATGGTGAGCTTGTTAGCCCAGAAGGATGCAAACAACCTCCGCTTTGGTTATATATTCAGGTCCCGGCAGAGGGCCTGACTTGAGCGGTTGCCCAAAGGGACACATCGAACATCATATTAGCCCCCTGCCACGCTGACCCCTTGTTAGCCCCTTTCTGGTTGCTTGGATGCAAATATGTTGCAAGTAAGCCAACCGCACGGAACAAACACGTGGTAAATCATGGTAGATCGGCGTTGGCAGAATTGGACTTCGGACTTATGTCAAACTGTGGTATTTTGTTTTTTTAGGTTTTGGGAATTATCTCAAATGCCTTTTGGACTCTACGGTGCCTACACAACAATGCCTGAAGGCATCGGAGGTAGCGAACTTATTCAATTTGATTCGATTGTTTGAAGTGTTCCGCTGGTGTAGCACTGGCCGGGGAGGTGCTAGAACATACCCTTTGGTGCATTTTGCTTGGATGTTAGGACTTTGACGTTTTGCCAACTAATAGGTTTTCCATTAACCCACTAAAAGTTAAACTTTTAGCAGGGGAGCAGATTTCGCACCCGAGTGACCGGTTGACCTGCCCTACAAATTCGGGCATTTGCTTCATGAGCGCGTGGCTTTCGGCTCGCTCGAGCGAGTCCGCAAGCAAGGCCACCGGAGGCGCCCCACTTCGCGGCCAGCGTCGCGCTCTTCCTGGGCGGCTCCTGCCTGCTACTGGTGGCGCTGCTGAGTAGAGGCGAGCGGATTAAATGAAACGACCTTCGGTGGCTGCCTTGGTCAAGGTGGTTCGGAGCGGCTCCAAAGGAGTGGAAGGTTCCGGCAGTTGGGCCTGTTTGAGACCAAGTGCCAAAAAAACGAGCACCGATTTTTGTCCCAAGAGAATCCACTGGAGGTCTGGGCAATCTGTTGGTTGATTTCTGGCTGTGGACGGATCAGCAGAATCCCGCGGTAGGTGGTTTATCCCCAGCCCAAGATCTGACAGCTTGCCCACGGCTCCTGAGTTCGGAGCGCCGCAGCCAGGGTTTCGAAGCCCCCAACCCCCTCCAGCCCTCCCTTGAATGTCCATGAGAATCCGAGAAGAAGCCACCTAGTTTACATCTCGCGCTCTCACTTTGGGGGGTGCGACCTCACGAAGGTTACTTTTATAGAGAACCCTGGCTCCCAATTGGTGAGTTCATGTAGTCTCGTTTGGACCCACAACTGCCCAAACGGCAGAACTCTGTTTTTTTTTTGTTAGGTCTGCATTCGTATCTCGGCACACTCATCAGGTGTTGGCAGGAGGGAATCAAAGTAGCACAACATTGTGGACAGGGCTGCAACCCTTTGCTAGTATAAATTATTGTGTAAACTAAGGCTTGCTTCCCCTTTTTTCCGATCGCGGCTTTTCCACGACCCAAATCCCTGCGGTCTTCCGCAATTTCCAGAAAGCGCAGGTCATGTGTTCAGCATTTGTTGTTCAAAGGGAACCAAGCGCGAGTCCATGTTCTTTCGGTTTTTAGTCACTCAGTGGGGTTTTCCCAACAGACTACACCCACCATGAACCACGGTGTCCTTTTCTTCCCTTGGGAAACTGGGCACTGGGCAGGGCACGCCACGTCTCCGCGAGGCGGCGGGTCCTTTCATCAACTTCCTTCCAGCGGCCAGTTCCTGGCGACACGGCGGAAGAGGTGTTGATTTCCGTCCGGAAAGGCCGTTTTCGGAGTTGGCGACGTGGAACTCAGTGACTCAGCGGACCCATTTGACTCTGATTTTTTTAGGGGCAAATATATGGAAAGTGGTTGGTGGATATAAATCGACGACATGCCTCGATGTTTGGAGCCAGCCCTGAAACTTGATTGAGGTCCTTATCCTGGAGCTTACTCCGAAGCGAAGGTTTCATTCGACACGGGTGACCCTTGGAATTCCATAGATCTTTTGTCACTAGAAAAATGGAATCGTGGACCCCTTCACCCCCTCCCAAGGTAAAAGGTAACGCTTGACCCCTCGGATTCTTCAATGTTGGCAGCTTCATCATAGTGACCAAGGCCGGCTTTCAAAGCCCAACCTTCTGATCTTTTGCATGCTCAAGGTTAGCAAGCAGTTTGCTGGCCACCGCTCCGAGGCTCCAGATACAGCTTTGTGCCCCGGAGGATCATGAGTCATGATCATCAGCTTGCCAAAACTTTGCCAATCCACCAGTGGTGAGTGACAATCAGTTGGAACAAGCGCCCACAAAAGTGTGGATGCGCCACCGTTTCCTGGTTGGAGTCTGCGAACTGCTAAGCCATACCGTGGATGGACGAAATCCACCACCTATAAAACCCTGGAATGATTCGATTCCCCCGGTAGATCCCAACATCATAGGGGCTAGAGGGGAGGGAGGGGAGGGGGGAGGGAGCCCAAATAAGCCCTTATTAAGCCCTTATCAAGCCCTTATTAAGGCCTTATTTAGGGCTTATTTGGGCTCCCCCCCCCCTCCCCTCCCTCCCCCCCAGCCCCCATGACAACAAATCCTGGGTTTCACCCCATGGTTTCAAAGTGGCGCCTAAGCGGATTTCGATTTCAGCCATCCACGGCATCCCGCCGTAGGCCATCAGCGGGCCCATGCGCACTGCGCTGGGTTTTTGTTCTCGTTTGGGGACCGCAGTGAACATGAATCTCCGCTTAAATGCCGTCCACTGAGGGGTCCCCTGTTGAAATGTTCAAAGTCAGCAGTTTGTGTTTGTTTGTTGTTTTTCCAGTTGTTTGTTCTTTCTTTCATTTTTATCTAGGTGGGTGACTGTGGCAAAATCCTGCTTTCGACCAGCGACGTGTCTCCTTGTTTCCGCAAACAAATGTGGTATGGTCAAACCCGCAAACAGAATGGGGCACCCCAAACTGATGTGGTATGGTATGGTTCTCCCTTGGTTTCCCTTTACCACCCAAAAACTTAGGGCACAGGAGGACACCCCAAAGAAAGACGAACTTGGCCACTCAGGAGCTGGCAGAAGAGGGCTGCTTCATGGAGGGCATGTACTACGCGGATCCTCATAGGCGTGGCCCGTTTTTTGGGGGCGCGCGTTTCTTCGGCTTTTGTTGCGCGGTTGTTCCCGCGTTTTCCGCTGAGGGGCGCTTCAAAAAAAACACTAACAAGACGTAGGCCCAGGTTTTTTTGTTTTTCCCGCATGGACAAGGCGGTGCTTCACCCATGGGCGTCTTTCCAACTACTTGATTCTTCTTTGGTGGGCTAAATATGAAGAGTCGGAAGATATGATTTTCGGCGGGCCACGCTTTCCAAGTCCCTAAGGTGCCTTTGATTTTTTCCGAAAGCATCGCGACGGGTTCTTTGGAAAATAACGGTTGCCGACTACACAGCTGACTTACTCAAACTGACTTACGCAGCCTGACTTACACAGCCTGACTTACACAGCCTGACTTACACAGCCTGACTGACGCAGCCTGACGGACGCAGCCTGACTGACACAGCCTGACTGACGCAGCCTGACTGACGCAGCCTGACTTACGCAGCCTGACTTACGCAGCGTAGCTTACGCAGCCTGACTTACGCAGCGTAGCTTACGCAGCCTGACTTACGCGGCGTAGCTTACGCAGCCTGACTTACGCAGCCTAGCTTACGCAGCCTGACTTACGCAGCCTAGCTTACGCAGCCTGACTTACACAGCCTAGCTTACGCAGCTGTACTGACCCAGCCGAAGCTCGCAGCCTTTAAATTCTTTCTTCTTTCTTAGCCGGGGGTGGGTCTGGCGGGCGCTGCATGGGGGGATGAACCCTCTGCGGGGATCATGCGTGTCGGAGCGCTCTCGCTGTGGCGCCGTGCGAACTTTCTACGTGGCCCGCGAACCCTCTGCGGAGATTGTGTGTGCGTGTCGAATCGCTCTCGCTGTGGCGCCGTGCGAATCTCAAAGCTCGCAGACGAACCCTCTGCGGAGATTGTGCGTGTCGGAGCGCTCTCGCTGTGGCGCCGTGCGAATTTTCTACGTGGCCCGCGAACCCTCTGCGGAGATTGTGCGTGTCGGAGCGCTCTCGCTGTGGCGCCGTGCGAATCTCAAAGCTCGGAGACGAACCCTCTGCGGAGATTGTGCGTGTCGGAGCGCTCTCGCTGTGGCGCCGTGCGAATTTTCTACGTGGCCCGCGAACCCTCTGCGGAGATTGTGCGTGTCGGAGCGCTCTCGCTGTGGCGCCGTGCGAATTTTTTTTACGTGGCTGACGAACCCTCTGCGGAGATTGTGCGTGTCGAATCGCTCTCCCTGTGGCGCCGTGCGAATTTTGAAAGCTCGCCGACGAACCCTCTGCGGAGATTGTGCGTGTCGAATCGCTCTCGCTGTGGCGCCGTGCGAATTTCAAAGCTCGTCGACGAACCCTCTGCGGAGATTGTGCGTGTCGAATCGCTCTCGCTGTGGCGCCGTGCGAATTTCAAAGCTCGCCGACGAACCCTCTGCGGAGATTGCACGTGTCGGATCGCTCTCGCTGTGGTTTTCGCAAAATTTAAGTACAAAAGTAGTACGCGAAGCAGGCTCCCGCAGCTCCGGCCTGAGAATCGCAAGTTTTAAGTAGAAAAGTAGTGTGCAAAGTACGCTCCCGCATCTCCGGCCTGACTCCCGCAACTCCGGCTTGCAAAAAAGGGAGAAAAAGAGACAGAAGGAGAAAGAGAAAGGGAAGGAGAGAAAGAGACAGAAGGAGAAAGAGAAAGGGAAGGAGACAAACCGAAAGAAAAAGAGAAAGAGAAAGAGAGAGAGAGAGAGAGAGAGCGAGAGAAGGAGAGAACAAGAGAAAGAGAAAGAGTGAGAGAGAGAGAGAAAGAGAAAGAGCAAGAGAAAGAGAAAGAGAAAGAGAAAGAGCAAGAGAAAGAGAAAGAGAAAGAGAAAGTGAAAGAGAAAGAGAGGGAGAGAGAGCGAGAGAAGGAGAGAGCAAGAGAAAGATAAAGAAAGATAAAGAGAAAGAGAAAGAGAGAGAGAGAGAGAGATGGAGAGAAAGAGAAAGAGAAAGAGAAAGAGAAAGAGAAAGAGAAAGAGAAAGAGAAAGAGGAAGAGGAAGAGGAAGAGAGAAAGAAAGAGAGAAAGAAAGAGAAAGAGAGAAAGAAAAGAGAAAGAGAAAGAGAAAGACAGAAAGAAAGACAGAAAGAGAGAGAGAGAGAGACAGAGAGAAAGAGAAAGAGAAAGAGAAAGAGAAAGATAAAGATAAAGAGAAAGAGAAAGAGAAGGAGAAAGAGAAGGAGAAAGATAAAGAGAAAGAGAGACAGAGAGAGAAGGTAAAGAGAAAGAGAAAGAGAGAGAGAGAGAGAGAAAGAGAAGGTGAACGAGAAAGAGAAAGAGACAAACCGAAAGAAAAAGAGAAAGAGAAAGAGAGAGAGAGAGAGAGAAAGATAAAGAGAAAGAGAAAGATAAAGAGAAAGAGAAAGAGAAAGAGACAGAGAAAGAGAAAGAGAAAGAGAAAGAGAGAGAGACAGAGGGAGAGAGAGAGACAGAGAGAGAGAGAGGGATAGAGAGAGAGAGAGAGACAGAGAGAGAGAGAGATAGAGAGAGAGAGAAAGAGAAAGTGAACGAGAAAGAGAAAGAGACAAACCGAAATAAAAAGAGAAAGAGAAAGAGAGAGAGAGAGAGAGAGAGAGCGAGAGAAGGAGAGAACAAGAGAAAGAGAAAGAGAAAGAGAAAGAGAAAGAGAAAGAGAAAGAGAAGGAGAAGGAGAGGGAGAGAGAGAGAGAGCGAGAGAAGGAGAGAGCAAGAGAAAGAGAAAGAGAAAGAGAAAGAGAAAGTGAAAGAGAAAGAGAGGGAGAGAGAGCGAGAGAAGGAGAGAGCAAGAGAAAGATAAAGAAAGATAAAGAGAAAGAGAAAGAGAGAGAGAGAGAGAGAGAGAGATGGAGAGAAAGAGAAAGAGAAAGAGAAAGAGAAAGAAAAAGAGACAGAGACAGAGAGAGAGAGAGAGAGGGAGAGAGACAGAGAGAGAGCGAGAGAGAGAAAGAGAGAGAGAGAAAGAGAGAGAGAGAGAGAGAGAGAGCGAGAGAAAGAGAGAGAGAGAGAGAGCGAGAGAAAGATAGAAAGAGAGAAAGAGAAAGAAAGAGAAAAAGAGAGAGAGAGAGAGAAAGAGAAAGAGAAAGATAAAGGTAAAGAGACAGAGAGAGAAAGAGAGAGAGAGAGAGAAACAGTTAACATGAATAGTATCATAGATGTACCATAACATTATTGCACTACCTTTCTCATATTCGCTTTCGGGATAATCGGCGTCTAGTTTGGGGCTCCACAGAAATCTCGGATCTATGCTCTGCAAAGCGTTCCCCGCTCGGATCTGAAGGCTGTGGGGCTCAAAAAGGGGAGGTTCATTGGCTTGCAACCATATGGGGGGGGCTCTCCAAAGCAAAGACCCCCCCAAAAAACATGGCCCTCAGTTCCCTGTTCCCTTCAACCCACAAAAGGGTACGTCAGAAGCAAAGGCACACCCACATTAAACTTCAATTCCGTTTCCCGAGAATCGTGGGAGGGCGGGTGTGGCAAAACCTGGTTACATCTTCCAACGGCAAAGGTTGCCCTTTGTGCCAAGAAGAGAAGAACAGTTTGACACAGAAAGGTCATTGCCCTCCAGAAAAGACACACCCCTGTGGTTCTGAGGTCCCACCAACTCCACATCTTTGCTCTTGACAGACATGTACCGAGGGGCCTATGTGAGAGTTCCATATCCCATCCGAGTGCAACTTGGTACTCTTTCCGCGTGTCTACCTTTGGCCCATTCCTCCGGGTTTCTGAAAGAACCCCCAGCCCCGCCCTCTAAGCTCGGACCGCTCGGACCACCCCCCTAAGGTTTCCGCAAAATACTAGGGCACCTGTTGGCGGTGGGTGGAGAGCCCTGCCCACATAATATGTCCTGACACCTTGAAAGAATCTGGCTTCAACAAGGGGATCTGATTGTTCAAAGCAGGCAACTAACCCTTGGACCCAATGGATCGCCAAGGTGCCGTTGTCTTTCTTGCCAGACTTCAGGTTGATTCTGAGCCAAACCCAACCATTCCCATCCCCGACCACCCAAACATCCCAACCAAAGCCCCCCCACCCCAAAGCCACCACCATCCAACCCTTCCCCGCCCCCGCCGCCCCCGCAACAGCCCCCCTCACCGTCCAAGTCTCCTCGTGCAGGATGCCAGGCAGCGATCGCAGCTCCGAGCCGAGCGCCCAGAGCTGCCAGAGCCGATGTCTGGCCAACGAAAAGTGCGCGCACTTCACCTACTGGCCCGACGGCGCCCAGATGAGATTGTTTTTTTTGGATGTCGGATGCCATTAGAGCCTGGGCGGGCGCGTTCTTTTTGTTGAGGCTCGGATTTGTTGTTGGTTTGTGCGTTTTTTTTTTTTGGGGGGCGGGGGTGGGTTGGGGGGGTTTAGAGGGGCACCAAAAGGCAACCGACCAAAATAGGGGTTTCCCTAGTTTGACGCATACCCAGTTCGGGGTCTCCAAAGCCGCAACACGTATGTTGGTGTAGACTAAATAACTATAGGACAAAGTCAGAGGAGTATTGTTTGGAAATACACCAAACGTGGGCCAGGGAATTGGTTTGGATGCCCCAAATATTTGCCACACCAACCATACGCAACTGCAAAGACATGTGACGCCACGGTCGATTAGAGGGTGTCCTTGTTTCCTTACCTGCAATTGAAAGCCGCATGGCCATATTTTTTGGACAGAACTCAAAGTTTTCACAACCGAATGTGCTATTTCGCTGTCGTTGGTTTGGTTGAGTTTTCCTGTCAACACTGTGCCTTCATTTTTGTATGCTTAGCCCAAGTTGCTTTGCCGTTTGATCGTGGAGCATGCGCAAATGGGCGTGGAGGGTACCAATGTTGTTGTTGTGGTTTTGAGATTTAAAGAAACCACATAACAGCGGGCGACTTCTTTTTGCTGGGTTCAACTTCAATCCAGTGGTCGACTTTGTCGCCCTAAGGGCCTCAGTTTTTTTAATCTGATCCTTTGGCTGCCAGATGGTTGTGGTTTTTATTGTGGTGTACTTTGAATTTCCGGTCACTCAGATTAAAACCTCGTTTGAATAAGCATTGTGAAAGGTTCCAAGCTACTTGTTGTTTGGTGAGTGATGCGCTTCGGAGTCTCCACCAGCTCAGTTGGTGAAGTGTGATTGTGGGCCAAGAACTCCCTCGAACTGCCAGGGCCCCCTAGTGGCCCGCAACGTAGTCTAAGGAGGTCACGTATTTTGCGGTCAGTCAACTCATATCATTTCTAGCACATTCTGCGCATGTTTGAGGAGGCACGTCACAGTGCATTTCAAGATACACGTGAGTCATTGGCATCAGGAACTCTCCACCCGACCACAAGAAAACCATCTCAGGAAGGGTGATGTCTCTAGGGGGGTCAAGAATTCCTGTTGCTCGATTTGGATCTAAGGTGGCTGCCTGCTGACGGATTCCACCTCCTACCCTAAAGCCGTGCCATTCCAATACCTGTCCACTGTCATCGGGCCGCTCGGCATGTCGGAGAGGATGTCGTGTCCCGAATGTGGGACACCAGCCCCCCCCCCTCCTGAGTATCAAATGTAGCCACAGGTTACTGAACAAGCCAGTGGACATGGGAAAAGGCGCTTCCTGAGCCCCAGTCTTTTCTCGAATCTACATGCCTTCAAGGAAGCGCCAGAGTGCCAAGCCGTGGAAAAGACCATGCTATCTTCATCTCTTGCATTGGCCCGTTGGGACATGTTGTATAGCAAAAACAAAAAAATGAAAAAACAATGTTTTCACATGTTCTTTTGCAAGGGACAATTTGCACCATGATGTGCGGTTGGGGAAATCTTGCAATGCTTGAATCAGCTCCTCTGTACATGTTCAAAATGAAAAATGAGGTTGGACATATTATGTGCGGAAGAGTTCGAGGTTGACTTGCATCGGGCTATATCGGGCTTTGTTGCTTGTTACGTTGCGTGCACGGGTAGTAACACAACCATGCGGTGTTGTGTTGTAAAGAGAAGAACACCTCATGCTAAGAATCGTGGGACCTCAAGGCCTGTAAGCGTGGAGATCCAGTACTCACTGAGGGTCCAAAAACTTGACTTGATGGTTCTCGGCAGTGAATGACCCCGAGAACAACCATGCCCTTTGGTTTCATTCCCGCAAAACCCTACGGTTTCCTTTATTCGTGAAGCATGGGAATCCCCAAACCGTTTCATTCCCAACACCCGGACTCGTTGCAATTCCCTACCTCTCGCAGCAAGTTGTGAGGCTTGCTGCTTGGGCCCCCATTTTTAGGCCCGCCTCGTCAATCGTCTCGTCTCGTCGCGTGGATCTTCCTGGAGTCTCCATGACCCTTTTAAAAATGGGTCCATGACCCCATTCTTTTGGGTAATGACACCAATCTATGCTGCTCTTGGCTTGGATCTTCAGACTTTCACTTTTTGGATCCCCCTCATATATATTTCCTCTCAACCAGCCAAAGAAGAACAACTTTTTGCCGGGGGATCTACAGCACCCAAGATGTTTAGAGGGCCATGACTCCAGGCGCGTCGGGTCGCTCGCGCGAGGCCGAGGGATTGCAGCCGCGCGGAGGTCGAGAGCTCGGCGCCCGTGGCCGAGAAGGCGACGGGGACCGATGGAAGCGGCGGCGGATGGCAGCGGCGGACACTGCCGGACGATTGGGAGATGATCCCAGGGGAAGATGCGGTACCCCCCAACCACTTTTTTTTTTCCCCCAGGCCAAAAAAAAATTCCCAAGCTGTGCAAAAGGCGGTAGAGGGGGGGGGGTGGGTCTGATTTCTTCCGAACCTGAAATGGTGGAGATTTGGGTATTTATGTTGGCTCCCAATTCATAGCCACCGTGTTTCGTCTTGAACCCCTCCCCCCAGAAAGGTTTTCATAAAACGTTAAGAAGCTTTCCTGTTCAAGACAACGCGTGAGGCCCAGCGCACTCTTCTTTGTGAGCATCTCTTAACCTTGGGATCAAGCGGTTTGCACAGAGGATTCTATCGGAGCTGACCCAGGTTCCCCAGTGCAGCCCTTTCACCCTTTTTGGAAGTGCCCCCCCCCCAGAAAACCCTGGTTGGGGTATTTTTGCTTGTCAGACACACTTGCAGGGAATTGTATTGGAGCTGACAAGGCACATCGATCTCCACTTTTGGGCGGGCCCCTCTCGGATCCTATCGGTTTCACAGATGAGTAAATATCGGTGGGTCGGGCTCTACCACGTTTGAGTGGTAAACCGAAAGGAAACCAACTGTTGTCTGATCAGGGTTGTGGGATCACTCGGGGTTTCTCCCACCACTTCTGTGATACAAGTTGGAATCCCCCTTTACATGAAGAAAATAGTCCTTGGGGTTAGGCCCTTTCTGTTGTATCACAGGTTCGTGGATTCCATTCCCCACAGCCCCTGATTCACCCACTGGAAGGAAGATACAGTACGGAGGGCCCTCGGTTTGGGATTCGTGGGTTTGGGGTCATGTGTTTGCTTGTTTCTGGTTGGGTCAAACTCAGAACATGGGTCGGTGGTTTCCCTTTAACCTACCAGGGGTGACCTTGATGGCAACAATGGTATGGGCCAACATTCGTCGCCATGGACCGCAGGTTAAAACGCTTTTGTTTCCATTTGACCAGGGCAACCCATTTTGGCTTTGGTGCATTTTGCTTGGATGTTAGAACTTCGACTTTTTGCCAACTAATGTGGTTTTCCGTATTAAACCACCAAAAGTTAAACTGCTATCTGGGGAGCAGATTCCGCAACCCATTTTGGGATCACCCCATTTTTGCCCCGCCAAATCAGCTCCATGGTAGGTGGTGGCGGTGGTGGCTGCCCTTCCCGGCATCAACGGCACCGCCTGCGCCAGCTACCCCGCCTGCGAGGCGACCGTCCGATGGCTCGGGGTCCGGGGTTCCGAATCACACCCCCGGCCCAGGTGGCAGTGGTCTGTGTCATGAGACCGAGGTTTCTGTCTTTCCCTGGGATGAGTAGCTGTAGCTGCAAAAAGGCCGGTTTTTGGGGCCCCGTACTTCAGGCAGAAAACAATTTTTTGTTGGGCCCATACTTCAGTCGGAGGAAAGTGTATGCTTCTTGGGCTGTTTTGAAAAGACTCTACCGGGTCAGCCGCGGATCGAATTCACGAGTTTGTGTCGCAGGCGTGGGGCGGTCAATTGTTGCACAGTTTAATTGTTTTCATTAATAAAAGGCTTCCCGGATCCAAAATTGACCGCGCAGTGCTGTAGGTCTCTTGAAGGATTCTAGGGGGGAAGGGTTGCAATCGCTTTGACCTTCAGGAAGCGCAACTCTTCCTCTGCCAGTGTATGCCATCGGGATGGAATCCTGCTCCAGGTACTCGTAGGTGCTTTATTGCAAGATTTACAGGCTTCCGCTCATTCATGTTGACTGGTGCAAAATGGCTGTGGGTCAAAAGCCCGTACCCCCAGTGAACATCCTAATCCCCACTACAATAGACTAAAATGGTTGGTGCACCTACCTACCATGGGTTTAGACCCACAGCCAAATGGATGTTGTCCACAGTACCAAAGGAGCAGTCCCGAGTGAAGCAACATATGCCCAGGTGGTATTGCCACGATCCGAATGCCCGGAACTGAATGGCGCCTGTCTGACAGACCCCAAGCTTTCAGTTGGGTAGAAAGGGGATGGTCCATTTTGGCAATGGCTTTACCTGGCTGGCTGTTTTTTTGTGCTTTCTTGCTTGCTTGCTAGGTAATTAGGCTGGCCGGCTGGCTGGCTTGTTGGTTGCTTGCTAGGTTGGCTGCTAGGTTGGTTTCTTGGTTGCTTGCTTGCTTGCTTGCTTGCTTGCTTGCTTGCTTGCTTGGTTGGTTGGTTGGTTGGTTGGTTGGTCGGTGGGTGGGTCAGAACTTTGACACGTTTTGGTTTTCAGCGTTGGCTTTGCGGCTTGGTTTCAGCTGGGAGGGTGAGCAGCCTTTTCCGGCTCAGGACTGTAGCTGTGGCTTCCCAGTTTCGGCCTGGCGAAATTCGGGGGCATCCCCAATTTTTGGGCATCCTATGGATGGGGTTAGCACCACAAGGACGCCAACCACGCGGGGCTACGGCGAGGGAGCTCGAGGTTCCAGACTAGATTTTTGGGTTTCGGGCCCTTCGACGAGCAGGCGGCGAAGCTTTCTGGCAACTGCTGCCCCAACGATGAGCACGTCTCGCTTGGCTGCATCTTGGCACTCCGCACTCCGCCTTTTCCCGTCAAAGACCCCATTCCTGGGGTAGACTTAGGATACATGTTGCATTTTACCAGTGACTCAAAGTGAAGCAAACAATAAAACATATACATTCTACAACTGGTTGCCTAACTCTAATCATGATTCCAACCCCCCTAAAAGGAGGGACACCCCCCAAGCAATCCACCAGGGGTTTTACTTTGATCCGAAATTCCCAAAAGCCCCAGACATTGCGTCGGCTTTCCCGTTTTCCCTTCCTAACCACCAAGAGAAGCGTACCAAATGTTGATTGGACCCCAATACTGGTTCACTCTCGGATGAGTTGGAACCCCCAACCATTCCTTGTACTTGGGCTCTCAAACCCTTTAATTTGGGATGTCATCCCATAAAATTAAGGCCATATCCCTTTTGAAGCAATTTGAGGGTCCACTTCGCTTCCTTGCAAATCGGTTCATTCCCGAACCCCTGCTTCCCCTTCCCCCGAACCTAGAGGGAGCGGGGGGTGGTTGAAATCCCGTGGAAACACCTGCTGAATTACGTGATAGGGATGATCATCAACCCAGTGCTTGAGAACCAGTGAAGGAAGTGAAGCAAAGGGAGCCAGCACCATTGCCCAAAACGCTGCATTCGGACCCGACCCTCGCGGATTCAATTTTGAGGAATCTGTTTGAAAGTTCATGGGGTTGGGACCCGGCAGGTCCCTTGAAGCTTCTCTTGGGCTGATTCAGGGATGGACCAAAGGGTCCATGACGGTTGTATATGCACCAGATTGGGTTCGCAGCGCAAGCAAAAGCACAAGCTCAAGTACATACACGAGGGCACACACACACAGACACACACACACACACACACAACACTCACACAGACCAGCACCACACCAAGTCACCGCACCCAAACACACGAGCCGCTCACACTCTTACTGGCGTACTCTTACACTCATACTTGCGAAAACAGGCATAAACACAAACACAGGCACCTACGCGGGCACGCACACGCATACGCACACCCACGCACCCGCGCACGCACCCAGACACACACACACACACACACAACACAAAACACACAGCCCACATACACACATTCACCTTTTTTTCCAAGCAGAAGTGTATCTCTTCTTGTTTGTTTGTCTACAGAATCCCATACTTATGTGCATGCGCAGGAGTGTGAATGGGGAACCCCCCAAAAAGGGAACCCGCAAAAGAACTTCCAATCTTTTTGAGGATGCCTTTTTTGGTGCTGTTTCACAGAAAACCCATGCAGGACATTTGCGCATATCTAGAGAGAGAACAAAAACCATGTAGAGATTTAGGCAAAATGCTTCGGAATGCAGGGGTGTCATTTTGCCACCTTTTGCCAGAAGATTGGCGACCCCCTCAAAGAAAAACTCCTTCACTACGAGGAGGGTCGATCATTTTTCCACAAAAGGTGGCAACAAAAACACCCTTGTCGGAACGGGGGGTGTGAAATCGCGCCCTGATGAAGGTCCGTTGGATTCCTTTGTTGGATTTCCAGTTTGTGAAGTAGAGTGCATTTGCTTATGTTGTAAGCCTTGCCTGTAGCAGTAACTCTTTACCACCAATTTACCTCAAATTTACTCAATTGTGTGATAGGGGCAAGCCACCAATTTACCTCAAATTTACTCAATTGTGTGATAGGGGCAAGCCCTAACTTTGTGTATCTCCCCCTGCTGGTGTAACAGGAATCGATCACTACTGGAAATATGTTCTCATATTTTCCAAAGTACTTTAGCAAATGGATGTAGAGAACTTGCTGAGCAATGACCTTCAACCTTCCGGGTTTAGAGACTGAACCGGATCGGAATTCCCTGAAGGGAAACCAACTCGGGTATGGTTTATATGCATCCATTCAACTTAAGAATATAGTTTTTTCCGTTGCTGGTTTTAAAGGGAATCTATCACTACTGGACTATTTTTATGCCAGGGGGCTTGAGCAAATGGAAGTATGGGTCATTCCCTCATCGCCTGCTGACCAGCAAGGGCAACAGCCTTCAATTCTTCTGCTAGGTTGCGGCGGCTTCCCTCCGAAGGCGACCCTGGCGGTTTGAGCTGCGGCCGGTGCCGAGCTGCGGCTTTTGGACTTGCTGCCTCAAGATATGGGGGGTCAAAATTGAACCAGGAATTGGGCCGCAGGTCTTGGGCCATGTTTCCACCAGGGCAACCCATTTTCGGTGCCTATCTTTGACCCAATGTGTCAAGAGAAAAGAGACACAAGAGAGTGAAAGAAGCCCCAAATGTAAACTGACATGTTTTTTTAGGATTGGTGTGGTTGGGCGGTGTCAGGAAGTGGCGGGAAACCGCATATTATTCATTCCGAAACATTAGCTTTCCTCAGCTCTCGTGAGATTCAGGAGCTACACAGAAATCGCACCTCGCACTAGAGTCTAAATATGTTGTGTGTTAACTTTTGTAGTTCGCCCCCCGAGTGATGGAGTCTGAGTCAACAGTTGGACAGATTCCTGTCATGAATTTGGATAGCACGCCTGCCGCTTGCGCGGGCGCATTTAATGGATGCTCTGGGGTGAGCAGCAACTTCCGGATGCAAGTTCGGGTCTCGCCTCTAGTTGAAGCGTTGGGTGTTTGTAGCACCCAACCCGATGCGTTTTCTTGTTTGTGTGTGCGTCTTGTCTGTAAATAAAGAACCCAATGAATGCGCAAAACTAAGTGGGGATTAGCAAGAAGTCAGGATCAGTCTCAGCCATAGGCGCCGATACTGTTTGAACGCTGTGGATGTGTAGACGTTTCAAGTACCGATAGGTTTCGGGTCCATGATGCCCATAGCTTTACAATTAACTTTCCAATGTCATCATGCCCTACTCGATTGGAGAGTGTAGGACCTCAAAAAGGGCGTTGGTGAGGTCCCACAATTGGTCTGCTTTGGGTGGTCTCAAACGGTCAACCTAACTCGTTTCTGTTTGGGCAAGGTGCTCTTTTCTTGGTTTGAGCTGCTAGTCAGAGTTCTATTTCGGTGTCTTTTGCTAGAGGACACCTTGAGGGTGGTTTCCTCCAGAAACCTAGTGGCAACGGACCAGCCAGCCAAGTGGTTGGGGGGGCCACGACCATGCAGCCAGATGCTTTCCTTCTTCTTACTTGTGTTCCGGTTTGGACTTTCGTCGCTCGGGTTTGGATCGCTATAGGTAAGCAGAAAAGGTGTTCCTTTCTGCGTTTGCGGCCCTAAGAACTGAGACGAGCCACTCACTTGGCTTAGGCTTGAGCCAAATTTGATCAACTAAAATAAGGCCGTCACTCCCTCAGTTCCTGGGCGTTAGTCAGTTTTTGGGAAGACGATTTATTTTGGTGGTAAAAGGTTTGGTTCCTTTTGTTGGCCGACACGCTCGATCGGAATTGAGCTCTGTGTGCTTTGTGCGGGTTAGTCAACCACTCCTAGAGTTGGACTTACTTTGCTTCTGGACATATTTTCCATTTTTTCCAGGGGACTTCAGCAAATGGAGGTTTGCGGAACTCCAAAGTTTTCACATCCCAAAAATCAGGCCATTGGTTCGAGGCGAGATTCGGCCAGCTGCTCCAGGGCGTCAAGAGGAATTCCGAATTCGGGTCGACAGTGCACGAGATCTGGCCGCGCCGTGACCAAACGTTGGGACCCCAAGTCCACGTGTCTTCGAATGAGTCTACGACTTTCTTAGGGCCCGAAGTCTTGCAGCTCAATTGAATGATCAACCGCGGTTTTACTTTGGGTTGCCATCAACGTGTTGCTTGGACATCGTCCTTGGTGTTGTTGCATTGCTGCATGGTTGTTTAGTAGCGACATACAAGGCGAACATCCACATTAATTGAATAGCAATGGCACAGAATGACACCCCCTCTACCGGGATTGACTCTGCATGCGTATGGTGCTCAGCTTTTTCAATGGCATCATCTTATCGGATCGCCAGATGCCAGGACGGTAAAGTGTTTCAGCGTGTCATGTTTGAGAGATTCCATTCTTGCTGAAGCTGTTGAATCAACCACTCCCTTCCTGAGTTCCTGGACTTTATACTTGTTGGGAAGACCATGTTAGCTGCAGCCGTGGACTTTTTGGCCAGTCCACTCAGAAGTGAGACCATTTTGGGGAAAGGGACATAACTCAAGTTCTCAATTCCTTCATTGAAGTAGGTTCACTTTAATATTGACGATAAACCAACTGCACTGCTCTTGTCATGTGCTCACTTCCTTTGTTCTGTTCATTTGTTTGTCAAAACACAGTTTCCGCCAGCATACAAGGGTTTGGAAGCTAATGATACACCATATCACATATCACTACACCCACGGACAGTCAGCACAGCCAACCCTCGACGAGGGCCAGATCAGGAGTCATCAGCTCCATCCCGCCAGCAGTGTGGCTCCAGTGTGTGAAGAACGCGAAGGGCCGGCCCAAACCGGCAGAAAGCAGCCGACAAGGGTGGGGGCTGCGAGGCCATGGAGGATCGCCATATCGTCATGTTTCTTCCGCTCAGCTTTCTAATTAGCAATAAACAACGAAGCTGCATGTCTTTTGCGCAGGAACACAAGTTGTCAAGGACTTAGCTGGAGCAAGGACCAACAAAGGTGTGTTGTCCCAAGGGCCCTAGATGTTGACTTTGCGCTATCCCAATCAGCTCTGCGGCCTGTTCATCTTCCATGTGCTTAAGGCATGTTCTATTTCCCTTAGTTTCAAAATGAGTCTATCACTATTGGACATGTTTTTTTTGTTTAAATGAAAACGCGGATGGAGGTCATGTTGAATGATTTGGCATGTGATTTGTGGCTCGTGGGTTCCATGTGCGAGGCCAAGGCCCTTCTGGAGCCTGCTTGGGGCGGTGTACCCTAAGAATCAGAAAGGACCAGGGATCTTCATCCTCCATTGGCTGAAATGAATACGTGTTTTCCCTTTGGGTTTTTCACGCCTGGAAATATGTGCTCATTGTTTGCAGTGGACTTAAGCAAACGCATAATGTGGACCTAGGCCAAATTGTTTCAGGTCTCAAGATTCTTGAGGTTTTGGGTAGATGTTGGATCAGATCTCCAGGTTGTAGTGATTTGTGTTGCAAACCTGGTCACAGTTCCTGTCCGTGGCTGAAAGTATTCCCTGGATTCAATGTCGCTTTGGAGCAACCAAAAGACGATCAACTCCTAAGAGTAGAGGTTTGTCTCATAGCGCAAAAATGGGTGGTTTCCTGTTGGTTGCCAACAAACCACCTCACAGAGGGTCCCCTCAAAAAAGTGGTTTCTTTGTGTTTGGTTCAGACGCCGTCTATTTTGCCGGGGATTTTGGTGCAATGCTCCGCCAGCCTTTTTTGGCCCGTGGGAAATTCCGCGCACTGGGCATACGGACGCCGACATCGGTGTTGCGCGATGGAGGCCTTGAATAGTCGGGTCGCCTTGGCAGCTTTGGCTTGGTGGCATTTGGTTTCTTAGGTGTCTAGATCATTTCAGTTGGTTTAGTTCAGGGTTGTGGGATCACTCGGGGTGTTTCCCCACTTCTGTGATACAAGGGAATTCCCCTGTTTATATCGGGGGGTAGTCTTTGGGAGGCCCTTTTTGTTGTATCACAGAAGTGGTCATTTCCCACAGCCCTGTTTTAGTTTGTTTAGTGGTTGGGTTTCCATTTCATACCACAAGATAAACTTTTAGCATCTGAATGGACAGCGCAGCCACTAGCGGACTCTAAGGGGGTCTCGGCTTCGATTCTTGTGCCAAATAGATTCCCCAGTTGCCACACATCAAACTTCTCAATTTGGTTCAGAATTCAATTCCCCGCGTCCTGAGATCCCGACACTTTTTTGGAAAGGCCATTTTTTGGGTGGTACACAAACAGCTTGTTATTTTCGGACCATCAACTCAGGAAGCGATCATCAAGCTGTTCAAGGTATGCTTGTGTGCTTTTCCATTCACACATGGCACACTTCAGGAATTGTCATGTGTCGGCTTGGAATTGGAACTGAACAACTGCAATGTCAAAATGATTTACTAGTAAAAATCAATTATTGGTGGAGAGAGCCCGCGTTTGAATCTCAGCTTGACCGGGGGTCTCGTGGAAATGTTCATGAGGGCGCATTCACACCAGGGAAAGGACTACACCTATGATGAGCCCAGGTTCCATACTATGCATGTCTGGGAAGGCCAAGCGGCGGGTCTCCTACTTGATGATAAATCAACCGGACCCAAAACAAATCCACAACAGCCATAAGGCGATAGCATAGATAATGTTGCACCTGACACATGTAGAGAAATAAAAATAACAAATATTGGGAGCACCTGGCTGGGACGTAAGGTGGATCGACAAAATATGCACCAGTTGGGATTGGTGACTTATCCCGGAAGTAGAGTGTAATGCATGCCTGGTGCGAATTGATTTTGTTCCATCCCACATACTCTCCCCTGAGTTTGGAACCCCAAAAGGCCATCTAATTTCGGATCAGACCCCCAGTTTCTGGAATCCAGCTTATCACGCTTTCGCCCTTCCAAGACACCAGCTCCCAGGCATTCTGAAAATTCAACCAAAACCTGGACATGTGGATATGTGGTGGATGACTAACTTTCTTTTTTGTACTGCTGGACACTTTGACTCTTGGCCATGTCATGATGTCATGCATGGTTATACAAGCCATGGTTCTTATCATGCTCCCAGAGTAACGCTGTTTCCTTTTGTTCCACTTTACAACTATTCCAAGAAGGGTTCTCTCCCGTCCACTAGCATGGAACCCACCAGAGAGTCCTTTCAAAGGAAATCAGTCTTCCAGGAAACTCCAGTACCATTGAAAAAGAGCAGCCCTGGTTTCTTCAGGTGAGCCACCATCAAAACCCGGGTAGATGAAAGTTAGTAAGTCACAATCCCAACTATAAATAGCTGCGGATATCCGCCTTCTTAATTCTTGCATGGTTCTGGGATTACGACCATTGTAGTACCGGGTTTTGAGGTTTTGGTCCATGTTTCCACTTACCAGGGTTCTATTTGGGGTACCTATTTTTGACCCACAGCCAGGTGGCATTGCTCGCGGGAGCATCGATGGCCACTGGTCTCTTCTTCGGCGCGGCAGCGGCCGCGGCCGCGGCCGCCGCGCTGCTGCTGAGGCGCGGCGCGAGAGTCACCGAGCGGCCGGCTTGTTCGGGTTCAACCTCCGCCCAAAGTGGTTGGTTTGTTGCTGTGGATGGACAAAATCTAAGAAGTCCTGGT